TGCTGGAATTAAAGGTGTGTGCTGCCATGCCTGGACAACCTGGAGGATGTTTACAAATAGTAAATGATAACACATCTGTATTCTCATTGTCCCTATAGGGAGATGGGAGGTGGAGACAGGAGAATCCCTGGAAGTGTGAGGGGCCAGCTAGCCTGGCATGTGCAATGGAAAAAAACAAGAGACCTGGTCTCAGGGCTGCAGAGATGCTCTCCTCTCGAAGAGGACACAGGTTCGGTTCCCAGTTTCTACATGGCAGTGATCAACCATATCCAGTTTGAGGGGAACCAATGCCCTCTTCTGGCCTCAGTGGACATTGCATGACACAGGTACACTTACATACATGCAGGCAAAACACTCATACATATACAATAAAAAGAAAGAAATTAATTTAAAAAATTAAAAAGAGAACTTGTCTCAAATAAGGTGGAAAACAAGAATGACGCCTGAGGTTGTCCTCTGACACCCACACATGCTCCATGGCAGACACGCGTATTCACACACATGAATGTACACACACAAGAGATTAAATTTCTTTTTTCAAACTGGGTTTGGTGGTGCAAAGCTGCAACCACAGAACTCAGGATGTAGAGGCAGGTGGATCAGAAGTTCAAAATAATTTTTGGCCACATATCAAGTTTGAGGCTAGGCTAGGATACACGAGACCCTTTCTAAAATGGATGGGAGGTGGTGCTGGAGAGATGGCTCAGAGGTCAAGAGCACTTACTGATCTTCCAGAGGACCCAAGTTCCATTTGCAACACTGACCTTAGGCACCTTAGGCCTCTGCAGGTATCTGCACACACCTGGCACACACTCACAAATGCACACACATACATACACATAAACGAAACATAAATCTTTTAAAAATTATTTTATTATTTTTATTTTATGTGTATGCATGCATTGCCTGCATGTAGGTAAGTGCACCGTGTCGTGCAATGCCCTCGGAGGACAAAAGAGGCTGTCAGATCCCCTGGAACTGGAGTTACGGACAGTTGTTAGCTGCCATGTGGGTGTTGGGATTCGAACCCGGGTCTTCTGCAAGAACAGCCAGTGTTCTTAACCACTGAGCCATCTTTCCAGCCCCATGAGACATAAATCTTTAAAAATTGTTTTAAAAAAGATGATTTGCAAAGCTTTGGCAGTAAAGGTCAAGGTGTATATAATGCCTCCTTATCTGGGATTTTGTTTTTCATGGTTTCAGTTATGCATGGCTAGTGTGTCCACCATGGACAATATTAAATGGGAAATCCCAGAAATAAACAACTTATAGGTATTAAATGACATATTGTTCTGAGTACCCTGATGACATGTGTGGCTCTGATGCATCTTGTCCAGACTGAATTATCCCTTTGTTCAGGATGTTTGTGGCATATACATATCCAAGTTTTAGTCGCATAGCCATCTCTATAATCAGTTGAGCTGTGATAATATGGCAATGCTGGTGTTCAGAAAACCCTTATTTTACTTAACAATGGTCCCAAAGGGCAAGAGTGCTAATCCTGACAATTTAGATATACCAAAAAGAAGCTGTAAAGTGCTTTCTTCAAATTAAGAGGTAAAAGTTATTGACCTAGCATAGAAACAGTGTAGTAAGGTCTGGGTTTTTGAAGAAAGAAAAAAAATTTTTTCTAGGTTTGTTGTCATATCTCAAACTTCAGAATTGTTGGTCACGGTGTATACACACTTAGCTAAGATGGAAAAGGCATAACATTTGTTCCTGTCTAGGGAAATAAATAGCATCTATAGGGTTTGGTATTGTTTATGGTCTCAGGAACCCAGGGGAAGGGAGAGTACTTTATTTGAGGTGTGGGAGAAGAGGAAGAAGGTTAGAAATACTTGTAGGTACCTACTTAATAGTTTAGTTCCTTTCTGTCTCTGCAGCTAACTCCTTTAATAAGAAAACTAAATAATGTCAATTATAGCCACACAACTACTTTGGTATACATAAATTAAAGTCAATGCCAATAATATAAGGATGACTTACCAATAAAGAAAAGATTCACTCTAAGGAAAAAAAACAAATTATAAGAGGGACTTAAAAGCAGGCTTTCTATATCTAAGAGAAAATAATCTTCCAAGAAATTAAAACAAAATTGATTAAAATATTTCTTTATACATTCAGAAGCAATATTAAAATACATTTTAACATGTGCTGAACTTAAGATGCGTTTGTGGCTTGGTTTCTTTCATGTTTATTTACTATTATTAAATATCTCACTAAAATGATCTCTTGAAAGAAATAATTGTGTAGGTTAAAAACATCAGTATTAGGGCATGGTGTGGGAGTACATGTCTGTCATCCCAGTATTTAGGAGGTGGAGGCAGGAGCGTCAGTAGTTCAAGGCTATCCTTGGGTTAAATACACCCCGATTCAAAAAATTGAATACTTGTAGGCTTTGGTTAAAAAATTCATATTCTAACCTGGCATGGTGGCACACAGTTTTAATTCTAGCACTTGGGAAGCAGAGGCAGGTGGATCTCTGTGAGATTGAGGCCAGCCTGGTCTACATAATGAGTTCCAGGCCAGCTGGGACTGCAAAGAAACCCCGTCTCAGAAGCAAAAACAAAATCATGGTTTTGCTTGTCTACGGTTAACAAATTAACATAATTTGTTTAAATTCAGATTTCATGGTTAATTTGGTTAAGCTATTGTTATACAGGAGCCCCAAAGCTACAATTGAAGAGGTTACTTAACACAGAAAGTCTGAAGAGGAGTATTTATAATTAATAATTTATTTTGCCACAAGATTATAAAGCTGATGTATTATCTTTACACAAATGTTGAGTTAATACTGGGGTCACTTAAAAAAAATTTAAAAACCTGTTTTTTTGTTTTTCAACACAAAGAGAAATCCTGCATACTTCAGATGAGTTACCTTGTGAGCAATGTGCTTCTGCAGCAAAGCAAATTGTTCATTTGGGGATGTCAATGTTGGATTATTAGCATTTTGGGATAGAGGAGGCACGGTTGTCAGTTTTTGGCTGAGCCAGGCTTCTGTGGTTTTGATGTAGGAAAGAAGAATCAAGCATCCATGAAGAATTGGAGGTTTGATTATATGTTTGTGGTAAAAATGTAAAAAGCCTTTCTATTTATATATATATATATACAGTCTTTTTGTGACAGGGTCTCCCTGTAGGCCCATCTGGCCTGGAACTCACTATGTAGACCAGGCTGGCCTTGAACTCACAGAGATCTTCCTGTCTCTGTCTCCTGAGTACTGGGATTAAAGGCAAGCGCCACCATGCCCAGTCTTGATTGAAGATATTTTAACGGAGCCTTCAGCATGAGGGTTAGGACAAAAAAAGTTCTCAGAAGCACATAAGGCAGCAAAGGTGTGGGCGTCTCAAAGAGTCTCAGCTCATTGTTTCCACAATGGTCATATATAGGAGTTTGGAGAGTTTGAAGTTACTATCACTGGGTGGTTCCTGAGGGGCACTTGGTAGGATTACTGTCCTTAAGGTGGAAGTCTAGCCTACAGGGAGACAGAAAGGCTGGCATCTTTACTGTAAGGTTTTGTTTGAGATTCTTGGGTAATGTCTGGGGAAAGGAATGAAGTCCTACCCAAGGTCCTATACATTCCTTGCTTCTCAGGTGCTGAGAGCTTTGATCAGACTCTGGAATGCCGGGTTCCTGTCCCTTTCATGCCCCCACAATATCCTTGTCTCCCTACCCTGCCTAGGATGATCACAATGCTGTGTTGACTTCATAATCCAATCTTTTTCCATTTCTGACTTTAGTTTCCCTTCTGTAATAAAGTCCTTGAAAACGTTCTACAGCAAAAAAGTGAGGGGGGGTAGGCAAATGCAGAGAAAGTGATTTTCAGAAAATTCCTGTCAAAGTGTATAGGTAGGAGATTTGACAGGAAAGACAGAATACACGTGAACATAATCTATTATGAAGGAAAGCATAACTAATTATGATAAATACTGGTTCTGAAGACATGAAATAAAAGAGGTTGTACGACCAGATATCTCCTCAGACAATGGAAGTCATAATAAAAGGCATTTAGTTAGCAGAATGTAGTCTTCAAACGAGTCATTAAAATACAGTGAAATATTTGGTATTTGTGTAACTTTTTCCTTTGAAAAGCATTTTCACGATTATTTTCTTTAATCTTCACACCTGCCGGTGAGGTGGGTCAGATGGGCTAACTTCTTGACCCACAGAGGGGCAATGACGATGGAGCCCACCCAGCCTAGGCTACCACTGGGCGGTGGGATCTTTGCAAGAGCAGAACACCAGCTCCCTGCAGCTCAGCCCAGCCTCTGACATCCTTGGTGGAGAGGAGAGGCTCCTGACAGCACAGCTCTCCCAGCTGGCTCACTGCCTTTAAGGGAGTGCCAGCGACTCTTGGGGTCAAGGGCATCTCCTGCTTTGGGGTGTTAAGAGTGCTCTGGATGTGGATCCCCAAATCTCTGACTGAGCATAACCTTCGACATTTTTGAGTCTCAGTTTCTTCATCTATGGAGCAGGCATGCTTTGCTTTATTCTATGGGGGTTTTACTAACCAACATGATCTCAGCCTACTGCTTGGGTCCAGGAAAGCATTAGTGAATTGGCGGGTGTTAATACTAGCAGCTTTGGAACCCTCCCCTCAGTAAACCATCTGTAGCTGTAGAGGTTTGGGGAATTTTCATCCACAAAATGGGTGCAGCATAGACCGCAGTTTTTAAGTGGGAAGCATTACTTTGCAAAGAAAACTACAACCAGCCTCCCTGCTCCTTATTCTTAATGACACTTATTTCCAAACGTGGGGATTGGAGGAGCAGACCAGGAGCTGGGGAAAAGCGAGAGGCCCAGGAGACGCAAGGCAAAGTGGGTGCTCAGGCCTGGCTCACCCAAGGACGCCCGCCTGCACGCTAGCCCTCGGCCGGGAGTCCCACCCGGGAGGCAGGGGGCGGTCCCACTGGAGCTAGGGGCAGGGCCTCGGGGCGGGGCGGGGGCGGGGTCTCGGAGAGTTTCTCCGCTGCACGCGCCACGTCTCCCTCAGCCTGCGTGTGGAGGAACCGATGGGGGAGGGAACAACCCTGCGCGGCGGGAACTAGCTCCTCTCGCGAGAGTTGGCGACGGCAGCGGCGCGGCGGCGTGTCGGAGAGAGTGGCTTGGGGGCGGGGAGGAGAGGCGGCGGCGGCGTCCGAGCTACGCTACTGTGGGCCGGAGCGCCGGGAGCTGGAGCGCTGCGCGGGGTCGTGGCGGCGGCGGTGAGGAGGGTGCCGAGGAGGAGGCGGAGCTATGGCGGGGCAGCAGTTCCAGTACGATGACAGCGGGAACACCTTCTTCTACTTCCTCACCTCCTTCGTGGGGCTCATCGTGATCCCAGCCACATACTACCTCTGGCCCCGAGACCAGAATGCGGGTGAGTGCCGCGGACCGTGCGGGCTCCGGGCCGCGCCGCTCCCGGCTGTTCAGCGCGGCGTCGCGGTGACCCGGCCCGCGCGGCCCAATCGTCCTCGGCCGGCTGGCGCTTCCCGGGTGCCGCCTCGCCAGCCTGCGTTGCGCTCGGGAGCCCGGCTCGCTTCTCTCCCCATTGTTCTGGACGCCCCTTGCCTCCTGCCTCTTTGTCCTCTCCGCCTCTGCTTCTGACGGGCGCTCTTTACGGGGGGAGCTGGATGGGATGGGGAGGGTGGGAACCAGGGGAGCGCGAGAAGAGTTGGCCAAGGAGGGGACGGACTGTGTAGCACAACTCCAGAGTCCCTTGCATCTCTGTCCCTGTTGCAGCTGTTGCTCCAGATGTTTAGGGGGGTACCCTTTGAGCGGGGTGGCATGTTTAGGACTTGCAAGTGAGCTCAGCAGCCGCCCACCCCGTCACTTCCTTCCATTGCTTTTTTCATTTGTTCACTCACGCCGTGGGGGTTGGAAGCGCAGCCTTTATTCCTTTAGCAAAAATAGGCTCTTCTCCGTTTCCTTTTCTTCGGAGTTTCCCGAGGTCGACAGAAAAAGTGCAAGTGCTTATAGTTCTGGGGTAGCTAGCCCATTCGGTTTTCGTTCTTGCCTTTCCACGTTTCACAGCATCATTTCAGAACACAAAATAATATCCTTTCTTTTCAAGGTTTTTTAGGTGTGGATTGTAATGTTGGATTCCATTTGATGCACTTCACTGAGATATTTGGCTCGAGAACTCTTAAAGCTGAAGGAACTTACTGCAAGCCTAATTGGTCATTTCTGGTGGTGGTAACCCAAACTACCAAATTCTGAGTGTTAACAGTTGCCCTGAGAAAGCTTTCTGTTGTACAAGAGCTGCACTAAATTGCCTAAATGTCTTAGGTTGGATGTGGTGGTGAGCTTTTGGCTAGGTTATGTACTGTATCTGGGGGGGAAATTGTTAACAGTGAAGCATCATCTAGTCAGCTCAGAACTTGTTACCTTTTGTTTGGAGAGGGTCTCACTAAGTAGACCAGGCTGGAGGGTCTCACTAAGTAGACCAGACTGGCCTTGACCTTAGAAGAGATCTGCCTGCCTCTGCCTCCAGGTGCTGGGTTTAAAGGCTTGAGTGGGAGGCTCAAAACTGATATTTTGAGAGAGTTCAGTGTCCTGTAAAATTATTTAGTTACATAATAGAACTAAAATAAATTTAGGGTAAAGAGGTGGCAAGGACTGCATCTTTTTGTACATTTGACAATAAGTACAAGTATCTATTAAGGTGCAACAATTTACCCAGTTACTAGTCTCACCAGTTTCTCATTCAGTGGCTGGTTTATGAAATTTCGAATTTTGGACTCTTGTGTCCTGTGTTTCTAGGTGCATTTTACTTTATCTTTAATTTAATTTAATTTAATTTTTTTGCTCTATTTGAGACAGGGTCTCTCTGTAGTCCCAGCTGTCCTGGAACTCACTATGTAGACCAGGCTGGCCTTGAACTCCCAAAGATCTGCCTGTCTCTGCCTCCCAAGTGCTGGGATTAAAAGCATGTGCCACCATGCCTGGCTACTTTATCTTTAAAAAATATTATTTTCTGCTGGAGATATGGCTCAGCAGTTGAGAACACTGACTGTTCTTGCAGAAGACCCAGATTCGTATCCCAACACCCGCATGGCAGCTAACAACTGTTGATAACTCCAGTTCCAGGGGATCCCACAGCCTCTTCTGTCCTCTGCGGGCATTGCACAACACGGGTGCACTTACCTACAGGGAAAAGTGACCAATTGCAGATCCACAGCTTTGTTTGTTTGGGTTGTTTGTTTTTTTGTTAGTTTGGTTTTGTGGGGGGGGTCTTTTTGAGACAGGGTCTCTCTGTAGTCCCAGCTGTCCTGAAACTCACTATGTAGACCAGGCTGGCCTTGAACTCACAGAGATCTGCCTGCCTCTGCCTCCCAAGTGCTGGGATTAAAAGCATGTGCCACCATGCCTGGCTACTTTATCTTTAAAAAATATTATTTTCTGCTGGAGATATGGCTCAGCAGTTGAGAACACTGACTGTTCTTGCAGAAGACCCAGATTCGTATCCCAACACCCGCATGGCAGCTAACAACTGTTGATAACTCCAGTTCCAGGGGATCCCACAGCCTCTTCTGTCCTCTGCGGGCATTGCACAACACGGGTGCACTTACCTACATGCAGGCATAACACTCATACACGTAAATTAAAAGTAATAAATAAAATAGAAAAATATTTTCATTTTACATGTATGAATGTATTGCCTGCATGTATGCAAGTGCACCTGTATCATTCAGTGTTCGAAGAGGTCAGAAGAGGGCATTGGAACTGGAGTTATGGATGGTTGTTAGTGGCTTTATGGGTGCTGGGAATTGAACCCAGGTCCTCTGGAAGAGCAGCTAGTGCTCTTAATTGCTGAGCCATCTCTCCAGCTGCTCTAAGTACATTTTAAATTGTGTAGATTCTTGAACAGTGGCTGTATATAAATGGTGATGTCTGAATACAGAAATATGTTTTCTCCACTGCAGACCTAGGCCATTCTTTTGATATTTCAAGTTAAAGGGATCCAGGCTCTGTGGTGGCTCACACCTTATAATCTCAGTCCTTGGGAGGTGGAGGCAAGAGGCTCAGGAGTTCAAGGCCGGCTTCACCGGCATAATGAGTTCAAAGCCAGTCTGGGCTACATGAGATCTTGTCTTAAAAAACAAAAAAAAAAAGGCTTGTCAGATGGTTCAGCATGTAAGGTCCTTGCCCAGATGCCTGACAGATTGAACCCTGGAACTCAGAATGGAAAGAGAACTGACTGACTCCTGGAAGTGGTTAAACAAAAGACAACTAAAAGGGAGTGTATTTTTCAGTTTACGTTCACTTATCACCTACTTGTATGTGTGGTTGATTGTAAGTATATAAGACAAAACTGTATTGGGCTAGTCAGTTTTGGTTGAATATTTTTTTTTTATGTGTATGAGCGTTTTTTTGGGGGGGGGTCTTTTTGAAACAGGCTCTCCCTGTAGCCCCAGTTGTCCTGGAACTTACTATGTAGACCAGGCTGGCCTTGAACTCAAAGAGATCTGCCTGCCTCCGCCTCTGCCTCTCAAGTGCTGGGATTACAGGTGTGCCCTACCATACCCAGCTTGATTAAATATGTTTTTTTCACAAATTTCTCATCTCTAACTGGATTTTTGAAAGTTGAATGTGATTTTTTTTTTTCGTGGTGAATTTTGTGCTACAAAATCTGCTTTACAGCATGCCATAGGCAAGCCCCACTTGTGCCAGTTTCTTGTTTTGGGGGTCGTTGGAGACATGCTAGTAATACAGATGGAAGGAATTAATTTTCACTACGTATAAGTTATGACCTTCAAATGTTACTTTTTTTTTTAATATTTTATTATTTTATGTGTATGTGTGTATTGCCAGCATGTAGGTAAGTGCATCCGTGTCCACATGCAATGCCCGTGGAAGACAGAAACGGCTGTCAAATCCCCTGGAACTGGAGTTACAGACAGTTGTTAACCTCCATGCGGGTGCTGGGAATCGAACCCAGGTCATTTGTAAGAGCAGTCAGTGCTCTTAACAGCTGAGCCATCTCTCCAGCCTCCTTTCTTTGTCTTTTTCATCAGTGTCTTTATAGCCCCAAGTGGCCTCAGACTAGCAATCCCCCTGCCTCAGCTTCCCCAGTACTGGGAGATTGTATTTATTCATTTATTTGCATGTACAATGTGTGTGTGTGTGTGTGTGTGTGTGTGTGTGCGCGCGCGCGCG